GAATTGAGGCAGTTCTGAAGGCAAAAGGGGGTCCAACCCCTTACTGGCGTGGTGTACCTAATAAAGTGGCCGGTGAGTGTATATATATTGACTTAACTCTGATTAATTTTAGTGCTGCATGGGCATAGATTAAAAATTTTAATCGCAATTAAAATTTTCAATCACTTTACTATGGCTGAATGTATAGGTTTGTATATTGCAATGCACTCAGTGCATGCAAGGTCATGTTTGTAAATGAGAAGTGGTTCTCAAACAGTTTACCTGGATAAAGGTTAAATAACTAATATGAAAAAAACTCCATGTATAACACATTATGTGCAGCTTTTTTTTTCCTTTTTGTCTTCTTATGGCTTATTTTATTTTATTTATTTAAGAAATAAATAATATTTAGGCCAAGGTCCCAGTTCCTGGCCAAGGTCCGACAGGGCCAGGGGATCCAAGCCCCGTTGGGCAGCCACCGGGCCGAGCCGGCACATGCCCAAGCACCCGGCCCTGGACAACGAGAGCCAACAGCGCGCCGGCGGGCAAGGGCACAACCCACCAGAGGGTAGTGTGGCAGGGGAAGCAGTGGGCCCTCAAATGAACCCCAAGAAGGGACCGCCCAAGTCCCAACCTGACAAAAATCCAAGCATACACAAACACAATTACAAAATCCCACCCTCATCCTGTCACCCACTCATTCAAAGACATAAGATGGACGCCAAATTCCACTCATACTCCCCATACATACTCTATACCCCCCATGTCCAGGAAATGCATTCGCTCCCTAAAGAGGGCAGCTCACGTCTGAACCCAGGAGGTAGACCCCTTCAGTCTGGGGCGGAGAGGGGCAGACAACCAAGCCTCGGCCCGGGCTGCACCAGGCCAACTGGCAAGCCCCCCATCCCAGTGAAGCCACGCCCCCGACCCACCCCCACACACCGCCAATGGCCAAGTGCATACCCCCAACCTGCCGGACTCCGGCAGCCACCCCAGCCAGTGGGCCGACCACAGCAACAAGGAGCCAGACCCCGGGAGCCCCAAACAGCCCCAGGGAAGTCGAAGCGCCAGCCCCGCCCCCGGCACCCCTCCAAGCCCCAAGTCCACCTGCAGCCCAGGCCCCACCAGACGGTCTGCCCCCCCTCCAGACCCCAACCCCAGAAGGCCAACGGGGAACGGGGGAGTGAAAAAGACCCCGACACCCCCACCCTCAGATGTGCTGTTGATCCATGTTCTATAATGCAATTAAAACAGGTAAGAAGATGGGGCAGAGGCCGGCATGGTGCCAGTTTCCCCTCCACCCCAACTCTAACCCAAAACCCTAAATGTCTAAAAGCAAACACTGGGAGTGGACCCAGGCATCAGTGGCGAGAGTGTTCTATCCTGCCCCTAGGTGCCCACCACAAGTCCCTATGTATTAATGTTATGAGGATGTTTTGAGTGAATGTCTAAGATGTACAGTAAAATTGGAGCCCAGGTGGTTATAGCAAACGGATGTAAAATTGTTGCTCTTTGTAACACACCTGTGCCCCAAAAACCCTACATGAGTGCAGCTGAAAAGGAAGAGGGAGGAAAAAACTGAGGGAGCAAAATGCTCCAACAGGGGGTCAGCTCCCCTGCTGACCCCAGTAGGTTTCCCCGTTTCCCAAGACCAACCCAGGGAATGAGGCCCCAAGACCTCTTCCTCCGGACAGACCGCCAGGCCCAGAAGGCCCCAGATCACAGACAAACAGAGCCCAGATGACCACCAGGAACTGGGACCAACAATCCACCCACCCCAGAGCCATCCAGAACCCAAAGACCCAATCCCCATCCCTACAGCCAGCCCGCAACCCAAAGAGGCTGCCGAAACACAGCAAGCATGTTCCAGCTGAGAGCGCACACCTAGCCGCCGACAGCGCAAAGAGGGACCAAGAGCGAGCCTCCGCCACAATAAAGGGACCAGCCAGCCAACCCAGCACAGCCCCAAACCGCCACCAAGGCTACCCACCCAGCCCCATCCCAGAAGAAATACTATACCCACCATATCATTTAGACAACTCTCATAACATATAGCACACTAGACACCCAGGCTGGGTTGGCCACCCACGGGCCACCAGCCCTGCCCCCAGCCAGCCCAACCCCCCAGCCCATGAGACCTGCCGTCCACCAGCGCACCAAGGGCACTCCCACCCAGAGCCGGGCGCCGGGGCACAAACTGGCCCAGTTCTCGGCAACACGCCCGCCAGGACTCAAGCCCTACCGGCCCCACCAGGACTGCAGCCCAGGACTGGCACGACCCCAGAACCCTAAGCTCCCCGTGCCCACCCCGAACCCACCCCAGCACAGCCAGGCCACTGGGTCAACGACCCATGACCGCCGCTACAGACCCCCTGAGAACCTGCATGCAGCCACCAGAAGGCATCCCCCAGAACCACCAAGGACACCCCCCCCAGGGCGAGAGCCGTGCCCCCCCCTGCCCAAGAACCCCCAGCAGCCCACCGGGTCAGCAACCCATGACCGCCACCACATACCACCTAAGAGCCTGCACGCGGCCACCAGAAGAAACCCCCCAGGCCCCCCCCAGGGCGAG